ATATTTTGTGGCATCATTTCATTTTAGCTAATATTTATTAAAATATTTTTATAAAATAAATTAAAGCGGCTCTCTTTGAGGTATCGTGACTGAACTCGTAAGACGCCAGAAAGCTTGGAGTTCTGAATTGGAAAATAACTGCACAAGATCGAAGTAGATGGAGGCAGGTTGTGAATGAGGCCAAGGTTAACACTGGACTATAGTACCAAATAAGAAGAAGAATACATTTTCAGTAATAGCATTCCTAACATGAAAATATAATTGTGATAAAATATAGGCCATAGAGTTAATGAGACGTTTGAGCTCGTGTTCTAAAAAACCTCTTGTCATATAAACTAATTTGATGATCCTGATAGAACTAACGGTCGTATGATGTTAGGACTTGAACTAAAGGTTTACATTGATGTAGGTTTAATAAAAAAAATAGATTAATGTATTAAATAAAATGAACCTCTTCTGTAAGATTTGGCATTGTTAGTCTTACTAACGATATTTAGACCATTTTCGAGAGTAAGCCAATTATTAATAGAAAAAACATAATTAGGCATATATTTCCAATTAATCCATTTTTATTTTCAACCTAATCTGGATTTGATGTAAAAATTATCCAATAATATAATTATCGGAATAATATAAATTGTATACTTCTTCAAAATATCTCCCAATATCATTTATTAGTTACTCTCAAATAGTAAATCTTTTTGCCATCAACTATTTTTTCAGATTTAAAAATATGAAACACTTCTCGGGGACTACATTATACTAATTAAATAAACAATTCAAATAAAAAATTATAGAATCTTACCATAGTACACATGTACACTTATATTGTCTTACCGGTATAAACTTTGTACTACACAACGGAGAATATTTTACCTTTAAAATGTTATTAAAACTATATATCATACAACTTTTAGGTAATAATTGGTATTGACCATTAGGTTAAATAGAAGTTTATAGACATGAATTAAACCATATTAACCATATTAACTTTATTTCGACTGCTCCCTCATATCGATTGTGTTGCAGTGAATCAATGTAGAACTT